CACTTAATCATCTTGAATGTTCACTTGTAGTGTTCATCCTGAAAACACATTTTTTAAAACTGTACTTGCAGTTAATATATATGACTAATAATAAATACTCTTTTAAAAAATTGCTAAATTGTTTATTTTTACTCTTTTTCATTATACTTTGCATGTGCCTTGCCTGTGTTAATAATGGATCCCAATTCGTTGAAGTGTCTCATTCATAAAGAACCTCTGAAACAATGATAAAATCCACTAGTCTGATAAAGACTTTAATTTTAAAGATTTAATAATTTTCTTATTTTATTGGAATGTTATCGACAAACATTTTTGTTTGGATGTTTAGTCAGCTGCCAGGGGTTTGTTGGCTGTTAACTTGCAGTTTTTGCCTTTTCTGCATGACATTTTATGTTGAAATGTTTGGTCTGTGGTTGACAGTCACTCTGTCAGACAGTTTGCTTAGCTGCATGGGCAAATAGAGGTTTGAGAGGCAATTTTGTGATGGGGTAGTAACTGCTGTGACAGTTTTATATATTGACACATGTGGTGCAATACTCAATTACTTCTCAAAAGTGACAGAAAACGTGCTCAGTCCTCTGAAGTTTTTATTTAATTGTGTGTGTGTGTGTGTGTGTGTGTGTGTGTGCAGAGGTGGATGAGAAACGTGCTCAGTCCTCTGAAGTTTTTATTTAATTGTGTGTGTGTGTGTGTGTGTGTGTGTGTGTGTGTGTGTGTGCAGAGGTGGATGACCTGGCTGTGTATCTGGACCAGCTACTGGCAGTTCCTCAGCAGAGTCCCATTAGTGCCACTAATGAAGGCCTAAACCGCTTCAGGGCAGCAGCCAAAAAGACTCAGGAGATGGTGTCTCTGGTGCAAAAAGCCAGAGAGCTCAATATACACAGTGAGTTTTTAGACAGTCATTTTGACACTGTTCAGAGTACAGGCGCCTTTGCAAATGCTCAGAAATAATTCATGATCTTATTTTGACCTCCCTGCAGATGTGCACATGTACCTTCCAACAAAACTTTTCCATTCTTCGGCACCAAACCTTAATTTGCTGAATAACAAAGAAAAGGTAGATAACACAAAATTACAGGCTTTCATTCTGTGAACATTTAAGCAATAATTAGAATAACCATCTGGCTGTCTCTGCTTTAAAAAATGTCAGGCTCCAGAAGTAACAATCATATTCATTTCTACACAGAGAAACAGTTTTTACAGTCAATAAGGACATTTTAAAATATATTATATTTATATTTTAAATTGTAATAATATTCACAGTATTACTGTTTTCACTGTATTTTTGATCAAATAAAGCCTGGGTGAGCATAAGAGACTTAATTCAAAAACATGTACCATTTGATGACATCCTCAAAGCTGCCAAGGATTCAGGTGGACAGTTATGTACCTTTGCCTTTGTTCATATTATCAAACACTGTTTTACTTCAAAACACTGTTTGTAATTGTTGTGATTCATTTCAGAGAGATCTTTTTATTGAATGTTTCCTGGAGATTCTCTATATTGAGAAAATGAATGGGAAAATTGCTTTCTGGAACTGTTAAAAATGGCTCTATTGCAGGTGTCCACATCTAACAAAGAGCTGTAATTACTTTTTCTGAGACACAGGCGCCTCAACCTGTGAACCTGCCCAGAGATGTCAATGGTGGGATTGACTACCCGGCCTCAGTGCAGATGCTGAAACAAAGTCAAAATTTGCAGGATCATGCTGATATTCACTATATCCTGTTCAAAGACAAGTCAGTACTGCCGAAACCATTTCATGAGTTTTGTTAGATCTGTGTCCTTGAAGAGAGCTGTACTGTGACTGTGGAGGATGAGGATTGTTTTGAAATGGAATGATGTTGGGATTTATTTTATAAGGGGAATGGATTTGGACACCAAGCTGCACGGGTGGTTGGATGGTAAGACAACTACTGAGTGATTTGTATGAAAGGGCAGAAAACCTAAAACACTGGGGCCTCATCCGGATGATCTGTGGGATGCTATGCAAGAAAGTAGAAGAGCTGGATGCTGTGAGTAGCAGATTTCCTGTATCTGCATGTAAATTAAACTACATTTTCTCTGAATGTGGTTATTAGATATTTTTCCATTAACAGGCCTGCTCAGATTTGCTTATTCATCAGAAGCATCTAATAGTTGGCCTTCCTCCTGAACCAAGAGAGAAAACTATTTCAGCGTGAGTACACACGCATATGTTCACATTTACGTTTATCTGTTCATACTGCAATCTTTGTCTACGTATAGCCCTATGCCCCCAGATAAGCTGGCAAGGCTGATCGATAAATCTAGTGAGAACTACCCCTCCATCAGCTGGTCTCCTGCTTGAGCCTAGGCTTCCAGCCCCTGAGAGGTATGATGGGAATCCAGAGAGGTGTCGAGGATTTATTACACAGTGTACTCTTGCTTTCCATCTGCAGCCTAACAGTTTCCCTACAGAGAGCAGCAGAGTGGCATATATGGCAACCCTTCTTGTAGGAAAAGCGCTGGATTGGGCTACAGCTCTCTGGGAGTGGCAGTCTCCTCTCACGTCCAGCAGTGATCTCTTCATAGCAGAGATGAGGAAGGTCTTCCACCACCCTGTTAGTGGAGCAGAGGTTGATCATCGACTTCTTCAACTCACACAAGGAACACGCAGTGTTGCAGAGTTTGCTATCGATTTCCGCACCCTGGCTGCAGAAAGTGAGTGGGATCAGCGAGCCCTGAAAGCTGCATTCCATCGTGCCCTATCACATGAGTTAAAGGATGAGCTGGCCTACAGAGACCCGGCCCCTGATTTGGAGTCTCTGATCGATGTTGCCATCAGACTGGACAACCGCATTTGAGATTGCCAAGGTGAACGTCATCGTGAGACTCAACTGCCCGAGATCCACACCTCCACTGGTTTTGTGGAACCTTCCTCACTGATCAGGTGTTCTGAGGAGCCAATGCAGCTGGGGAGAACCCGGTTATCACAGGCCGAGAGGGAGAGACGCATGAGAGATAAGTGTTGCCTGTACTGTGGTGAGTCAGGTCACTTTCGGGGCAACTGCCCTGAACTGGTGGGAAAAGGCAGCTCTCGCCCAAGAACTTGACTTACCCCCGACCAGCAGCTTCAGGCCTTTCGATTGATGTCTCAATCTCCTGGGCAATGAACTTCATGAGCTCATGGCTTTCATAGATTCTGGTGCTGAAAATGGGAATTTCATGGACTCTACATTGGCACAGTTAAAGATTCAGCCCAATGCTCTCCATTACACTCTTACAGTTACCGCATTGGACGGAAGGCACCTAGGTTCTGGCCAGGTTAGCCAGTGCACCACATTCCTCCATTTTCAAGTAGGTTCTCATAGAGAAGAGATACAGTTTTTTTTATTAATTCTCCTGAGTTCCCTTTGATCCTTGGGTATCCTTGGCTAGCTCTGCATAATCCACAAATTGATTGGTCTTCCAACCAGATAAGTGAGTGGGGGCCTAACTGCTGTGTGTCTGGCTTGTCTCTCTGTCATTCTGTTGAGCCACAGGCAACCTTCCCTAAACTACTTGAGTCACCAGTCCCATCCACAGAGATGCTGGCTATTTCTGGGCTGAGACAAGTGGCTTCCACAGATCTTTCTGCCTCTCCCGAGTTATCCTGTGTCCCCCAGGAGTATGCACACCTCTGTGAAGTGTTCAGCAAGGAACGTGCTGCCTTTCTTCCACCCCATAGACCTTATGACTGTGCCACTGAACTGCATCCTGGCACTTGTCCACCTCGAGGGAGACTATTCTCTCTGTCTGCCACAGAAAGAGACTCTATGGAGGAATATATCAACAAGGCTGTTGACAGTGGATTCATCCGCCCTTCAACCTCACCGGCAGGAGCTGGGTTTTTTCTTTGTGGGGAAGAAAATACATGGCAGCAGTCTCCGACCATGTATTGACAACAGGGGGCTAAATCGTATCACTGTAAAAAATCTTTACTCACTGCCATTGATAACTTCAGCCTTTGAACTCCTACAAGGTGCAACTATATTCACCAAACTGGATCTTAGAAATGCCTACCACCTGGTTAGGATCCGTGCCGGGGATGAGTGTAAGACTGCATTCAACACCCCAACTGGCCATTATGAGTATCAGGTAATGCGCTTTGGGCTAGTCAATGCCCCAGCTGTCTTCCAGGCATTCAATAATGATGTTCTACGAGAGATGCTTAACCAGTTTGTATTTGTTTATCTTGATGACATCTTAATCTTCTCCCGTTGTTACCTAGATCATGTCCAGAATGTCCGGCAGGTTTTGTCTCAACTGTTAAAGAACAAGCTCTTTGTGAAGCTGGAGAAAAGTGAGTTTCATGTACCAATTGTCTCCTTCCTTGGGTTCATTGTCTCCAATGGCAGTATTCAGATGGATCCTGGCAAGACCCATGCAGTTCTGAACTGGCCTCAGCCTTGCTCTGTCAAACAGGTACAGCGCTTTCTTGGTTTTGTTAATTTTTAAATAACTAACCTTACCAAAAAGACCTCAAGGCCATTCCAATGGACAGAAAGGGCTAATCAAGCATTTGAGCTGCTCAAGCGCTGATTCACCTCTGCACCCATCCTGACCCTCCCCGATCCAGAGTTGCCTTTTGTAGTAGAAGTGGATGTGTCAGATGTTGGAGTGGGAGCTGTTTTGTCTCAAAATGCCAAGAGGGACAATAAGCTTCATCCTTGTGGTTTTTTTTTTCACATCGACTCACCCAAGCACAAAATAACTATGATATAGGTAACCGGGAGTTGCTGGTGGTGAAGCTGGCACTGCAGGAATGGAGACACTTGCTAGAAGGGCCCAAACACCCATTTGTCATTTGGACAGACCACAGGAACCTCACATACATCCTGGAGGCTAAAAGGCGTAATCCACGCCAGGCCCGATGGGCTCTCTTTTTTTAACCGCTTTGAGTTTATTCTCTCTTATCGACCAGGCTCTAAGAACTCCAAGCCCAATGCCCTTTCGAGACAATTTGACATGCCAGATGTGGAGGACAGACCTGAGCCCATCATTCCCAGCTCCAAGGTGGTGGCAGGGGTTCAGTGGGGAATAGAAATGGCAGTAATGAAGGCTCAACGACAACAGCCCGACCCAGGTAATGGCCCCCAGGCTGCATTTTTGTTCCTAATGTTGTACGATCTGGTGTGTTGCAGTGGGGACATGCATCTCTTCTTTCGTGTCACCCTGGAGTTACAAGAACTTTGAAGCGTATCCAGACATGGTTTTGGTGGCCCAGTATTCAGGCGGATGTCCGATAATTTGTCTGGCTGTTTTGTATGCGCCCAAACTAAAGAATCTAAAGTCCACCCTCAAGGTCTACTTCATCCTTTACCCATCCCAAGACGTCCATGGTCTCACATCTCCTTGGACTTTGTTACTGGACTTCCTAAATCACAAGGTAACACAGCCATCTTGGTGGTGGTAGACAGACTCTCAAAAGCATGTCATCTGATACCTCTGCCTAAGATCCCCACAGCTTGTCAGACGGCAGACCTCATGATGCAGCATGTCTTCAGGATCCACGGGTTTCCTCAGGACATGGTCTCTGATCGAAGGTCACAATTCACTTCTCGGTTTTGGAAGGCTTTTGGCGTCTGATTGGAGCATCCATCAGTCTGTCTTCTGGGTTCCACCCTCAGTCTAATGGTCAGACAGAATGGGTCAACCAGGAGATTGAGAAGACCCTCAGGTGCCTGGTGTCCAATAATCAAAGCACCTGGAGCTCCCGTCTGATCTGGGCTGAATTTGCTCATAACACCCTACACCATTCATCCTTGGGCATGACTCCATTTGAATATCAATTTGGGTTTCCCCCATCTTTGTTTCCTGAGCAGGAACTGGAGGTCCAGGTACCAGCTGCAACCCAATTAGTAAAGAGGTGCCGTCAGGCCTGGCGGAAAGCACGTACAGCCTTAGTGAGAGCATCACAACGGCAGCAGAAACATTTTAGATCCAGGCCTTATCAGAGAGTTCCACCATCATGACTCCAACCGTAGACAGCGGAACGTCAGGAGCCATTCCTGAGAGAGGGGCTCCTGTAAGACTCCTCCTGTAATGACTCTCCAAGCCACTAGGGAGCGTTGTCTGCTCCCTCATGCAATGACTCTCCCAGCCCTACTCTCCCTTTACTGTGAGCCACTAGGCGGCACCACCTGCTGTGAACTCTTTAGTTAAGACTGCTCATCAAGTTAATTTGTTCCACCTGTATTTTGTCCTATTTATGTTTGGCAGTTTCAGTCTTGAGCCTACCCAGTATGGATTACCTGAGTTCTAGAACAGTTAAGTGATGTTTTCCTGTTGCCATTCGGCCTACATTATGTTTTGTTTTGTAAAGCTATAACTGATTTTTTGTTTATATTTGAATACTGAGATAGAGTAAAGACTGCCTGCTTTTGAGTTAGCTGAGCCTCCGAGTTTGCCTTTCCTTCTGCACATGGGTCTTCTAAGAAACTGTCTTCCCCAGTAGACCGGTGGTAGAGAACTAGCTTTCCTTGACTGGGAGACCTGGGTTTGAGACCCACCTCAGACACCTTATGTTAGTCCAATGTGACAATCCCTCAACTGTTCAGGTATCTCAGTTGCTGTTTCATTAAACTCATTTATTAAATGTTTAACATTTTTTAACATGCAGTAAACTATTTTGTTTATTCTGTTTTATTAGGACTGCAAGTTATTACAATTAACTTAAAAAATATTGTAATTAAAAGAAGTCAGTGATCAGCTTATAAATGGTCATTGATATGAAAAAAAATCAACAAAAACCAACATTGACTTCTAAAGTCACTTTGTTCAATGATTTACTCATCTGCTGTAACATTATCTTTGAATTATCTTCATTTGAGGGATTTCTCAACAAATATTGATATACACTACCTTTCAGAAGTCTGGGGTTGGTAAGATTTTTTTATGTTTTTGAAAGAAGCTTCTTAATCAAAAATACACAAAATAGTAATACACTCTAAAAAATGCTGGGTTAAATATAACCCAGCACTGGGTTAAAAAGGACAAACCCAGCTATTGGTTTGTTTTGACCCAGCGGTTGGGTTCAAAACAACACAAACCGCTGGGTTTGTCCCTTTTTAACCCAGCATTTTTTTTTAGAGTGTATTGTGAAATATTATAACAATTAAAAAAAACACTTTTGTCTTTTTAAATATATTTTAAAATGTAATTTATTCATGTGATGGCAAAGCTGAATTTTCAGCATCCATTACTCCAGTCTTCAGTTTTGCAGTTTTTCAGAAATCATTCTAATATGCTGATTTGGTGCATTTCTTATTACCAATGTTGAAATCAGTTGTGCTGCTTAATATTTTTTGTGGAAACTATGATCATTTTCTTTTTTCAGGATTTATTTGACAATAGAAATCTTTTGTAACATAAATGTCACTTTTGATTAATGATTAATGCAATGCATCCATTATTTTCTGAACTCAAAACTTTGAACGGTATTGTATATAAGATTGGAAAAAGTTATATTAAATCAATGAATTTTTTAATCAATTGACAAACCTAGTTAATATTATTTTAGTACTCTGGTCTTTTTAGGTGAGGAGGCTACAGAGAGTTTAATGAACATGAGCCCATCTGAGATGAAGAACCTGCTAGTTCACATTCTCAGTGGCAAAGAGTTTGGAGTTCAAAAAAGTGGTAAATATATTAATCCATTGCAAGCATCATATTCACCCATAAATTCTGTGAATTTGTATATTTATGAGTTTTATTTTTGGGCCAGTGCACTCAGCAGAAAATGTGGTCAGCTCTGCTGTCAATATCCAAGACAAGAGCAAATCCAGCTCCACCAGAACCGAAGTGAAAGTTGCAAGTAAACAGGGTGGTGATATCAAACTGGTGAGAAAATGCTTGGATTTAGGACAGTTATGTCTCAGTATAATGGCAGTAGATAAAGACCATGTCCTTTTCTGTGTCCTTCATTTGCTGGATATTGGAAATATTGAATCAGGGGTAAGTGGACCAAAAACAAACAAACCTTAACTTCTTTTCCAAGCTTGAGCTTTTTCTTTGTAGGTGTAATTAATCTGATTGTTTTACAGAGATACAGACTTCCATCCATTGAGTCATTTCAGGGATCATTAGGAGCCATGTTGGTGCGTGACAGCAACAGAATCCCTGTTGGTCTCTATCAGAATGTCTGGAAGATTCTGCAGAAGGTGAGTAGGACACTTTACATTGAGTGTCGAAGCTAGGTTATTCATCAAGGTTGTGCTTCAAAATGGCTTCCCTTTCTTGTAATTTAGTGTCATGGGCTGTCCATTGAGAGCTTCCATCCTCAACCACAAGAGAGGTAAATAACCTTAAGAGATAAAATGAAATGAAATACAGAGTTCTGGCATGAAACTCTAGATGGTGCAGTCTGATAGGTCTAACTCAATCTGACCTAATGACATCATTATCACATGGCACAGCTGATTGGTTCTCTCCTGTATTGGTAGCCAATGAGCTCGCTGCTCAACATTCAAATATATGGCTAGTGCTTGTTGTAGCAGTTGCAGCTTGCTTCAGAAACCCTCTACCTTCCCCAGCTCCACCTGTATAGATCTGCTACGAGGTGATTCATGTATGCTATATGGGGGTTATTTCATGTATGTTATATTTGCAGCTGCAATATTTCTTACATGCTCACAGCAGCATGTTGTGGATGTATTGGCAGTAGCAAGTCTCGGTACTTGCTCTGCCGCAGCAGCAGCAGCGTAGCAGATCTGTTCCGCCAAGACCAAATACATTAACATTGTCATGTATATTACCATGCCAATCTTTCCGAGAGTTGTCATGACAGAAATGTAGTTTTAATTTCACAGAATGATAATAAGGTGCAAATTTCAGATGACTCCCGGTGAAATAAAGTTTGCCTTGCATGTGGAAACAGTCCTGAACCGCATATCTCAGCCTGAATACCGGCAGTTGTTGGTGGAGGCCATCCTGGTCCTGACCATGTTGGCTGAGGTGGACATCCAGAGTTTGGGTGGGGTCATTCAGGTGGAGAGGATTGTACAAATGGCCAGCCACATGTCTACAATGATCAGGTTAGCTTCTTGAAGAGGTTCATGGGTCCTTTATACACCTTATTTTGCAATGTGAAAGTAAACTGTTTTCTGCGAATGTGCGAGACTTCCGATTCATTAGCCATTATAGGTAAATAGAAGAATAACAAGGTGCAGTAAACAGTAAAGCTATTTGTGCTACTAACCAGTGTGTTTATGATTTATGTGTGTAATATCAAGCAGCATAACATACTGTCTTTGTGTAGCTAAAATAACTGAAAGCGGTTATCCTTGCACATTCAAGTTACACACTCTTATGTTAAAAATAAAACCACATGAAGCACAATCTGCAGCTGGCACATTCCTGCAATTAAATTAAGACTCAATTAAATGCCATTTAATTAATCATGCATATATCAATATTTTCTGAGCACAGTAGCCTGTTATTAGCATTGAAGCTACTACTGTATATGCTCCAAAATTTTGATTTAAAATATCTTTCCATTCCGAGAAAATTTTATGTTTTTTACTCATTATGCGCTATATAGATTTTTGTCCAATAAAATACTCTCTAGTCTAGACTAAGAACATTCCTCCCACATGCAACTGACTAGCAGTGGCAAAGGAAACTGCAATGGTCAAGAGATTTCACGGAGTCATTAGCACTAATGACTGAAATCTGTTTGTGCAGAAAGAACTGGGTGCTGATGAGTCTCCTTGAGAAAGATCACATGACTGGCATCTGCAGGCTGATGTACGACAGTGCCCCCAGTGGCCGTTTTGGCAGCATGACCTACCTTTCTAAAGCAGTGGCTAGCTATGCTGAAGACTTTCTTCCCAGTGGAGCTTGTGCCCTTCAATGAAGCTCCGAACTATCACATTTAACTATCACAGTGTCATTTTAAATGTAGATAGTGAGGTATTATTGATCTTTGATCTTAGATATTTGCATGAAAATGTAAAAAGTCATCTTTGGAATTGCAAATAAGGCAAGTTAAATGTGAAGTGTGTTCATGCAAGCTTAACATTAGCAAATGAGCTGAAGGCCACTGTCAAAGAAACCTGGGCTTCCATACCACCTCAGCAGTGCCACAAACTGATCACCTCC